GTATCATTGGTATTATTGGATTCGCCTTGTCGTCCTGTACACGTACGTACCAATCTTGTATAGCCAAAATGCCTGGTGTTGATAATCAGTACGATCTCCAAATCTTGAGCGAACGACGCGATCTTCCAGATGCCAATTTGGATCCGACCTCGACCTCTTCCGTCGCCAATATCTCGCTCGCCGACGTCCAGAGGCACTTGCGACAAGATACACAGCATTGGCGGGGCAGTATAGATGTGATATATCGACAGTGGGAGTTACGTAATGTAGGATAAGCGACGTGGTCGCCAGTTCGGTTATTTCTACTGTTCTTTTAGCCCATCCTTAATCTTCTTGTTAATCATACTAATACCAATATACAACGCGATCCGAAGCGTAAACGACCATAGAAAGAGGTAGTAGATATCGAGATGAGGCGCTAGCTAGCGTGTAGACTTCAAATAATCAAAAGCACGCCTGTAACGGCCTCAATAGAAGGTCTATAATCGATTCAAGGTCTTCGAACTAGAAGAATTAGTTATCAGCGTTTTAAGGCTATCGAGCGATACCTAGCCCTCTATAGCGATAATATAATGAATAGAGAGTATCCAATATGGTTTTAGAAGGTCCAAACTACGCTTGACGTCCTGCGTACTCGATTAAAATTAACTCTTATACCTAACAGTTATTTAGTCGTTAACGAGTACTCTATTAAGTTCTATAGTCGTTAAAAGAATAAATACCGTATAAGACATAAATTAGTTAGTGAGGGCTTCTATATATTCGCTCTTTATAGCTATAGAGGCCTCTTATACGACTTCGTAGTATCTTTAAATCGCGACGACCTTAAGGGGGTCTTCGAAGGTATTAAGATTAATATACTAATAAAGAGCGTTTAAAAGAGGAAAAGAGATTTAAATAATAACCAAGCCTTACTAATTAAGCTTCTACCCTAGAAGGCAGTAGTTTATATACTTTATAAGCGAGCTACGACTAAATAAAGGTAATAAACTTTCGTCTACTATATCGATAACCTCTTCGTTAATATACTATTAGCTAGAGCGTTATTAACGATTAATATTAATATATATAGTATAACGAGGGCTAATATATCTAGTTTTTTATTAATATTATTAGCGATCAAGTATAGATTTGGATCGTAGTTAGCCCTAAATAAGTACTCAGCCCTTATTATTAATAATATCGTAGTTTATATAGTCTAGAAAGACTTCGAGAGGTAAAATATTATATTATTTATATCTATAGTCTATAGTCCTTTCGACTTCGAACTAATAGTTCGATATATAAAAGCGAGATTATTTATAAGAGGTATACTAGCTGGCTTTACTTAGATCTAAGTCTAGTAGCTAAAGATTATAGTCGATTATAATCGATATATAGGTAATACCGACCTCTATAATTAACTACGCGCCTATAAAACCGTATAACGACCTCGCTAGGCTAAGTAAATAAAGAAATTCATCGAATTCACTATCGATATTTATTATACTAATACCTTTATTATTTAGAATCGATATTAGGCTAAAAACCATTAAGGAAGGCGTATACGCGAGCAGTTTCTCGATCAATTAATAGAGGGCCTTATAAAGGTCGTAGAGGACGTTTATACACCTATTCAGACCTTAAAAAGCAGCTATTATAACTGAAAAAACTGTCGACCGCAGGCATACAAATCGAGATCTACACTAAGCGAAATCAGTAACAATACTACCACTAAACTACGAGCGTCGCGGACAGTTAACTACTACAATCGATATATAAAGTATCTGTGCCTACGCAAGGGCTGCTGGACGCAATATCATAAGAACCAGGACCTTCCTACCAGGCAAGAGGAGGACAATTGAAGAGGAGGACAATATTACACCAGGCGACGTCGAGATCGCAGTTTGTGACACTAGGAATTGTCTATACAAGACAATATTGCAGCTTCAAACGCGTCGATAGCGATCCTACCTACTCTCTCAATTGTAATATTTCAATACCAATGCATTGCCATTTTTCTATGTAATGACCACCAAGTGGTGGCGCTGAAGTGGGGCGCGCTAAAGATTCACAAGTTGTCCGCGCAGAGGATGTTACCAGCTCCTAATCCAAATCAGTCTTTCATGTCGAAAGCCGCGCTATGAGAAATCATGAGATTGTTTTTCCACTTGAAATTTGTTGAGCCTCGGTTCTTTCAGAAACAGCGTCAAAGCCACCGAAGCCAAATTTCGTTTAGCTTGGTCCTGCATCTCGTATAGAAAGTTACCCTATGGCAAGTCCACAACTCAAAATGGCCAGAACATAACGGGTACAAAGCTGTAAGATAATGATAACTTGAGTTACAATGACTTCGATGCGTTACGGCCGCATGTCTCCAATCATTGTCATTGCCTTTAACCTTCTAACCCACCAGCCGCCATTCTGATTAAGCATCACCAAGAAAATGTCAAAAGCAGCAGTGTCCCTTTCGATCTTTTGGGTCAAGCTTTGACGCTCTTTCACTGACACAGCATGGATTTCAGGTGTTTAATGGACAGTACGCGTGGTGCGATCTTTCACCTTGCGCACGTTAGGAACCTGGCTCTACGAGGTGCATTTCCGAGATGGACTCATCGACCAATGGTTCTGGCATGAAATCTTGCTGCTTTGGCCTCCGTGTTGACGTGCTGTGCTGTTAGTATCAGCTGCTTTACGTTATGGCCTTCCTCGGCTCGCGTTTGAGACTACGAGGCAAACGTTCACTGATATATATCAGAATGTCTCGACTTGACTTTAACATGTCTAAAATAAACAAGTGAACATATAACAGATTGCAGTCGAACCAGGCCTGTCCCAGAACTGACGACAAAGATACTACGCAACGCCTGAATGGCAGCCCAAAACACGACTCCGGAGCTTGAAGAGAAGCTCGAAAGCTCATTGTCGTCGAGCAGTTCGATCATACTACCAACAGAAGCACATATGGGTTCGACTCAGAATGGCCCAGCCGACCTTGAACGGGCCGTGACAGAAAAGTCGCACCGCTCAAACGCTGAAAGTCCTGCTACTAGATACACTACGGCTCTGGACTGGGAAAATGACCACGACCCTGAGAATCCTGAAAACTGGTCTTTTGGAAAGAAGACTTTCCACATTCTGTACATTGGACTACAGTGCTTTATAGTGTAAGTCTAATCATCAAACACACGAAAACATTCTGACATTTTCAGCACATTCGGCACTTCAGTCTATTCACCATCGATACCGCAAGTCGCACGACACTTCGACGTAAGCATCGAAGCAGCAACCCTAGGCATCACCCTCTACACCCTCGGCCTAGCCTTTGGCCCTATGGTCTCAGCACCAATTAGCGAAACCTTTGGCCGCAAAATGGTCTACTTGATCTTGTTTCCAATCTCCCTCCTATTCACACTCGGTGCAGGTCTAGCAAAGTCATTCGGCACCCTACTCGTCTGCCGCTTCCTAGCCGGCTTTATTGGCTCCGGCGGACTCGCTGTTGGTGCAGGCTCAAATAGCGATATGCTTCCACCACTTAAGCGAGCACCAGTCGCATCAGTCTTCATCCTCTGCCCTTTCCTTGGACCAGCATTGGGCCCGTTAGTTGGCGGCTACATTGCGCAGTACAAGACCTGGGAGTGGACGCAGTGGGTTCTTCTTATGATGGGCGCAGTCGCTGTAATCCTCGGCTTCTTCCAAAAAGAAACATACAAGAAGATTATCCTACTCAAGCGCGCCAAACGACTCAGCCTTCCACCGCCACCGAACCCAATCGCCGCGATGAGCCCGCTACAGCGCATCAAGTTCATTTTCACAGTCACGCTTGCTCGACCCCTCGTCATGCTCGTCACCGAACCAATCGTTTCTTTCCTAGCAATCTACACAGCCTTCAACTTCGGCGTCCTCTTCTGCTTCTTCGCTGCCTTCCCGCTGATCTTCCAATCAATCTATCCGGAAATTCAAGTCTATCATTTCAGCACCGGCTCTACTGGCCTTGTCTACATCGCTATCGGGATTGGAGTCATATCCGCCTCCATCATCTTCATCATAATCGATCGCCTCTACTACGTTCCGCATGCTCGTAAGGAGATCGCAGCGGGCAAGAATGAACGCTCCTTACTTCTGCCACCAGAAGCTCGCGTTCATGCCGCCACGATCGGATCGGTCCTGCTACCTATTGGTTTATTCTGGTTCGCGTGGACTGCTCGCACTGACATCCATTGGATCGTTCCAATCATTGCTACTGTTTTCTTCGGCACAGGCAACCTACTGGTATTTTTCACGGCTGTGCTGTACCAGATCGATGCATATGGACCGCTTATGGGCGCAAGTGCAATGGCCGCCAACGGTATTCTGCGGTATGCAGCTGGTGCAGTGTTTCCATTGTTCACGAGACAGATGTATCGAGCTATGGGTGTCGGTTGGGCGACAACTATGCTTGGGTTTGTGACAGTGGCGTTGTTGCCACTGCCTTGGATTCTGTTGAAGTATGGACATAAAATTAGGGGAAAGAGTAGGTACGCGGAATTTTCAAAGAGTCAAGGATTTTAAATTTGAGCATGTAGCATTTGTTTGCTAAGCATAGCGTTGAATCTGGAGTTATCGTCGGAATGGTCCAAGTCATCTGGACGACATTAAATATAGAACTGGAGAACATTGGTACATGGTAGTTATATGAATCAATGCATATGGTCCATGATTTTTCTGGCGCTCGTGAAGCACTGTAGCTGCCACCAACGCACCATAAATTAGTCCTTCAGTTGTGAGGCCGGTAAGCCCTAAGTGGATTGAATCGTCTCGTCACCAAACTGACACGGAAAAACACGTTCATTTTCCCCTCTCGAAGCACTCCACTTCTCGCCCCCCTTTTCTTCACACTTTTCTCACCGCTTCCTTAACAGCACGTTTGTGTTCCATACCTGGAAATATTCTGACGAATCATGGCCCGTTTGATGTGCCTCGATTTATGGGTTACATATATTTTGGAAGAACATATTCGACTCACGAATTGCACACATTTCGCTCCCTTGGCTTAGTGGTAAAGCGCATCACTAGTATGATTGCTCAGGTATGATGAGATCACTGGTTCGATTCCAGTAGGGAGCATTTCTTTTGCTTTTTGTTCACCAACCTTGTTGACGATAATCTTTTTGGATGCTGAAAATGTCATCGGATGTGCCGCCCAGTCTCGGCAAGACATGTACATGCCAAAAGAGGCTAAAGCACGGTTTTGCAGGAGGATGCAGAAGAACATGTTCGAACGCAATGCAAAGTGAAAGTGGGCACGAACTAAGCAGTATATTTTATGGTAACCGTTGGAGCCGTCGAATGCCGTGATATCATGGTATGGACGTTTTTTAAAAAGCATCGCTGTGTCTTGGGAAAGAATAGCGCGATGACCTCATGCTCCAACGCTTCTTTCAACCATGTACTCACGCCCACTGGTCAAGAAAGCGAAGAAACACAAGTTGCTCTAACTTACCTGACAATCCAGAGGACAAAAAGCCTAGACACGTTGACTTTTAGCTATCCTCACCTCAACTGTCAAGCAACTACTGATAGTATGCATCTAACTCGAATCTTGACTAGTCCCACCAATGCTTGCTTAAGACAATCCGCCATCTCAGCAAACCACATCTGAACAAGAGCGACATATTCGAGGAACTGAATAGCATATCTCGAACCAATTACTTCCCCCATCGTTTCTACTAGGGGCATCTCAACACAATCTGTGATATGTCGTCCAGTAGCTTACTTCAACCAGATGTTTTGTCGGACCTTACAATTCTTATCACTGGTGCCTCCTCCGGCATAGGCCGTGCAACAGCCCTTGCCTGTGCTCACGCTGGCGCGCACGCCCTTATCCTCCTTGCCCGCTCTATCGACAAACTTAACGAAGTTTCCGATGCTATAGCGTCCAGTCAACATTCCAAAACGATTGTCATCACCCAAAAATGCGACATCCAATCCTCTTCCGCTGTCTATTCTGCTATCAATGCATCATTGACCGCCAATCCAGCAGTCAAGCAGATAGACGTATTGATTAACAATGCGGGATTGGCCATTGGAGCACCAGCCCGGTTTTCGGAGCTCTCCCTCTCAGACATCGATACAATGCTTCATACAAACCTCTCTGGAATGTTGTACGTTACGCATGCAGTCCTAAATCTTGGCGGTGACCGCAGCATGCTCTCTCGCAAGGCCGGGACGATCCTGAACATCACCTCCACTACCGCACTAGAAGTCCCACCATTCCCAGGAGAGGCGATTTATCATACAACAAAAGCATCGCAGGAAGCGTTCACGAATAGTCTAAGGACCGAGCTGCAGGAAACGAACATTAGGGTGCAAGTTGTGCGACCGGGTGTTGTGGCGGATACGACATTTCATAAACAGAGGGTCGGATATAAAAAGGGGCAATACGATGAGTTCATGAGTGGGTTCGAGCCACTCATTAGCGAGGACGTGGCCGAGCAAATTGTTTGGGTTCTTGCGTGTGGAAAGCGCAAAGAGCGAGTTGCATTGAAGGCCATTGATGTAGTGCCGAGCGCGCAGAGGATGTTGTATGTGATTGATAAGACATGGAATGAGAGGAACGGCGTCAAAAACACTGAGATGGAAGACTCATAGGTCTGGACACTTTCATGTCGAGCAACGAAGCCTGGGCATGCGGCGCAATCTGCGAAATCCACCTCAAGGAAGCGTTCTAAGAATCGGTTACCGTGGTGAGTATTACCTTGAGCAACGTGCATATTGTGTGAACAGAAATTTGATGTCCTTGCATCACCTTCCTCAACTACAATCCACCGAGACCAGCTCGGTCGAACCCCATCCCGTACATCAGTCTGCTGACTATGACCGGGAAGATCACATTATCGAAGGTGCATGTGGCGCGGCAATAAACTCGATTGCGAGATCTCTCCTCCTTCAGGAACGCCAAGCTACAATGCAAATTCATGACCGGGCTGAGCGCTTCAGAAACGGCAACTTCCAGCCACACGCTTGACAAGGGGAAGATTGGGGCGATATCTGGCGGCGAGGGGAACAATCACGAATCCAAGCGTTTACAATGAGTTAGTTGCGATAAAGGAGCCACGAAGCCTATGCTTATTAAGGGTATATCTAACAATCGAGATGCAAAGGACCATGAAGAACACGCCACAGGGTGAAGAACCAGCCGCTAGACATAAACATTACCAATAAGATTCTACGAGCTGCCCATGCCGAGAGATTTTAAGCCAACTCCAACCATCGTTTTTCCAACTTCTTTCTCATTATCTTCTGACCGCAAATTTATACCATAGCAACACCATAGTGAAAAAAGCCAGTATACCAAAACCCAAGCCAACTCCCAATGCAATTTTGCCGGTCGTGTTGTTTCCAGATGAAGGTGGGGCTGAGGAAGACGCCGAGCTGTTGTCGTTAGTACTAGTCGATAAGGTCGTCCAGGTAGAGAGGGTGGTGTCTAGTGATCATCATTCAAAGTCAGTAAAGGGTCAGGTCATACCATCCATTGGTATCCCACGTACCAGTGTTCAAAGTCGTTCCGCTCTGGCTTGCTGTCTGGATCGCTGACGTTATTACCATGTTGTTTGTCGTGGGTGGCGGTGATGTGGAATACGTCGATAGCGCAGGCGTGGTTGTGGCGTCGATATCGCAATACGCATTGTACAAAGACAAGGCTGTCGATACATCGGGTGAATTGCGGCTGACGGTACCACCGCAATACGCGGACCAGCAGGACACGACTATGCTGGTCGCTTCGGCCGCGTGGCCGCAATAACATCCGTTCCACGTGCATCCGAGCCTTTTCATAATATCGTCTCCGGCATTGTAGTTGTTCTGGATGCAGCCCTTCCCACATTCTCGCTGGAAGTCATAGTCCGGGAGCTGATTGATCGTTACGGATGCGCTCGGGTCGGACCGAGCGTAAACGAGGGTGACGAAGAATAAGATGGTACTCGCTTTGATCCAGATTTCAAACATGGTGCATGCATGTGTGGATGTAGTGAAGCTTTGTCGCTGTTTGTAAGTAACAACAACTGCCTGACAGGCAGGTAGGGTGCTACATCTTGTTCTCGAACATAGGGGTTCGATTCAGCCTTCCTCTTCGGCCACAACACTGCCTTTACCTCCCTTATCAGTGTCGCCTGCAGAAGTCATGCACGAGCACGCCTCATTGACAGACTGTTGGGCGAGCTGGAATTTAGCTCTTGGCGCTGTGATAGTGGCTGGTACATAAGCGAGACAAGCTCTAATTAAGAAGAAATAGAAGCATCGTGTGGGAGGACAAGCAGTTGGGACAATTGAAACTATCACCTTGCTGACTCTAATCCTCCAGTGGTGCTAGCGAAACACCGTGCTGGCGACGTAGGCATATTCTTCCCTTCCCGAGAAATTAGAGAAGTGCGCTATCCCGGTGTGGATGAACGGACTGGCACCCCTTCTGAAAAGGAGTGACACTATCACGTGTTTTTACCTTTCAAAATAAAGATTTACTGGTCCGGCTTAACGTTGATTGGCTCAGGGTCTTGGACAGGCTTGGCTTGCCTGTAATGCGATCAGAGGATTGCACATCAACGACCTGATTGATGGCCACACTGATCAACCACCATTCTTAGGCGTTAGCTGCTAATGGGACCGTTGCGGAAGGTTGAAGAGGGCCGAGCTCGTGACGTGGTCCTGTGCCTCTTGCCTTTTTAGTTTCGCTTTTAGAGAGATTGAGCAGTAAATGGTAACAAGGCCTGGGTGCAGATGGCAAGGCTGCTGGCAAGAATCACAGCAGGTTCGTGCGGTTGACAATAAGTTTTCAGACGACACTTACAAAACCAACGGTCGAGAAAAGCGCCGCGACGAAAGATGATGCTTGGGAACAGGAAAACACAGAACCCGAGGTAGTAACATTGCGTAGGAAGGCAGCATGGGCAGAAAAGAGCCGGACACGTGTTCAAGAATATTGGCGAGAGCTGGAAGACCATGATCCACAATAAAGTGGAAGCGTCGAATTTCTTGATTTGATTCTTGATAACACCATTGTGTCGTCGATGATAGTATTGGTATCATATTCTTCGGAGTACATCTGCACCAGCTCTTGGCTCAGATGCTCTCTTCGTTTCTGCATGCATTCGCTCAATGTCAGTCCATCCACACAAGCGGCATCTCGAATGACATGCTCATGTCCCTATACCGACATCTTCAGTCGTCTGTCGTCCACCTCATCATGCTGCAATCTTTTGAGGATTGATGCACTTAAGCAACCAACTCAATAACACCACCAGCCTCCTTGATCTTTCTCTCAGCCTCCTTGCTCACCCACCGTGCTCGCACGACAATTGGGACGTCTGGCAATCGTCCCTTGCCTAACAGCTTGCTGTATCCGAGAGGAAGTAGGTCGAAGACAGGAGCAGTATCCTTCTTGTCGCCGGAGATGTAAGCGTCTCGGGTCTCTTGGTCGACGAGGGTCCATAGTTTTTCGAGGTTGATGGTTGGTTTCCAGAATTTGTTTTGTGTCTTGTGGAAACTGCAAAGTCATTAGTCTCCAGCATTTGTTATCGTAGAAGTTTTGTTGGGCGGTGTGTTGGAGGTGGAGGACATACTATCTCATACCGACTTTACCCTACACATCGTTAGCAATCATCAATCCTCAGTGTTTGATTGTATGGTAACATACGAAGTAACCAGGGTGGTATTTATCGATGTTGGTTCGGTGGTGATGCTGACCACCAGCCATACCACGACCACCTGGGTGCTTTCTGTGCTTTCCAACACGACCATGTCCAGCAGAGACATGGCCTCGGCTATAATCAAACAATATATGTCAGCCTCGACTGAAATCCATTTTCAATCATGTGCCTTCTCGATGCGCGCATCTCAACTTGGAAACTGCGCTTTGATACATCGTAGAAGCGAGGTCGCACTCTTTCTTATTTGGTGGTGTGAACGTACTGCTTTCTGGTCTTCGTCAAACGGGTAGGCATACTGACGGTGTTTGGCGATGTGGATGAGTAGAGGGATAGAGGATAATATTCCTGCTGTGTCGCAACATTTCGAGATTGCGAGTTTAGAGCGCAGTTTCCACAAGCTTGGCGAAGGGAAAGTGTGTCACG